CGGTGCCTCGGTGCCAGTCCTCGGTCCCGCCTCCGGCGCCATGTCGGTCGCCTCCGGGCCTCCCTGCTTCGGTGGGGCGTCGGACGGCGCCTTCGCCGGCTCCAGCTGCGCCGTCGCCTGCCGCAGCTTCCCCCTCCTGCCTGCCTTCGTCGGTGTTCCCTCCTGTTCCCTCCGTGTCCCCTCCATCTCTCCCTCGTCCCGTTCCCTTGGTCCCTGTGTGGTCCCCTCCTGCTCCCTCCTCCCTCTTGCCTGTGGCCCCTCCGGCCGCTGCCCGTCGCCCGCCTGGGCTCCCTCGGGCTCCCCTTTGTCCCCCTTCCGTTCCTGTCTGGTCTCCCCTGTCGGCTCCTCCTCCTTTCGTCCCACCTGTGTTTGCTCCTCCTCCCTCTGTTCCTCCTCTGTTCACTCCTGGCCCCTTCGTGTCGCCCTTTTCTGTCTGCCTGTCGGCGTTTCCCATTCTTTGTCGGGTCTTGTCTTCCTTTTCGTCCTTGTTCCTGTTCTGTGTCTCTGTCCTGTTTCCGGTGTCTTGTTGATGTTTTGCTTTTGTTTTCCAGGTTTTGGGCCCCTCGTCTCGTCCGTCGCCTCCCCTCGGGCGCGCCTGGTGTGCGCTCCTTTTTGATGGGGGGTTATGTCACGATCCGCTCCGTCCGACCCTGATGTGTGCCACGCCCCCTTCATTATCTCGTGTGAATCCCTGATTGTTCCCACCTGTTGCTCGTTACCCTTAGCTTGTCTTTTGCATTTAGTCCGTGTCTCAGTTAGTTTCCCCAGATCCGTCATTGTATTGTGATGTATTGTTTCGTGCTCGTCTTATGTACTGGAATAAACCCAGATTACCCGTCAGTCCGGCTCCTTTCGACTAATTCCCCGCTCGCTTGCCTGCGTGTACGGAACCGAACGTGACAAGTAGATTGCTGGCATTAAGGCTAAAAAAACAGCAAGCATCTAATATAATTCAGAAATTAAAGGTTGATAACTCAACAGTCACAAAACCTGATGAAATCTCAGAATTGTTTGCAAAATTTTATGAGTCCCTATATAAAAACACGGATACTTGTACCGATGACAATACATTGGCTCATTTTCTGAAAGATATCAAAGTAACAGAACTTACTGAAACTATGGCAAATGAGTTGAATGAGCCAATTAAAGAACAGGAAATACAAGATGCCATCTCTAATCTGAAAAATAATAAAAGTCCCGGACCGGATGGTTACATTAATGAATTTTATAAAACGTTTAAGGAAATTATCTCGCCCCTGCTACTAGAAGCATACCATCATGCGTTACAATATGGAGTTATGGCTCCCACCTGGAATGATGCAACAATTGTAGTAATACCTAAAGATGGTAGGGACCCTACTAAACGCCAGTCATATAGACCCATATCCCTGTTGAATACAGATCTTCGCATATTAACAGCCATTTTAGCAAAGCCTGTTAGTAAAATTGTGACAAAAATTATTCATCCTGATCAGACAGGGTTTATAGTAGGAAGGTATTCTGGAGACAATGTTAGGAGATTACTAAATCTAATGACACACCCAAAAGCTAGGGAGGAAACAGCAATGATTCTGTCCCTTGATGGATATAGACATTGTACTCTAAACCGCAAGCTAGTGTCAAAGTAAATGGACACACCTCTACTCGATTTGCATTAGGTCGTGGATGTAGGCAAGGCTGCTCATTATCGCCACTGCTATTTGATATCAGCATTG